GGCGGAAACACGGTATGGTCGCTGTCGTACTGGCGCGTTGGAACCTGTGTCGATGCGGTGGGAAAACCTGGGAGTTCGGCCAAGGGTTGGTTGAGCAACGTCAAAGGATTCACGAAACTGGTAGAGCAGTTGAAGGAGCTCAGAGCGTTCAGATGGCGATAGTCCGTCGGCAATCGATGAATCGAAAAACTCGCAAGGTGGTATATTGGAAGGATTGAGGGCACTGATGGCGTCGTAGTCACCGGAACAATCTGGCGGCATGGTAAAAATTTGTTCTTTATCAATGGCATGCACGTGTCCAAGAGATTCACCTTGAAACAGTTCAACGGGATACGGAAGGGGATTGATGAGGCAAAGAGCACTGTTTCTTTCAGAAATAGAGAGGGTTGAATAAGGCAGAAGAAGTGATCTTCGACTAAGGAAGAGGCTTGATGGCTCAAAGAATGCAGCTTCGTTCCTAATGCCGTCACAGAACACGGGGAGCAACACAGCTGCTGTCGGAGGAATTTCAGTGCCTTCTTTGACGACGAGTTTATGTACGGCGGGCTGAATGCGGCTGGTTGGTTGGTCGTAAAACGGGAAAAGTTCAAGCTCCGATCTTGCACAATCAATAACGGCATGGTTACGCGATAAAAAATCCCATCCAAGTATGATGTCGTGTGAGCATGACGACAGGACAATAAACTCAACAGTGTAGTGGTCCTTCGCGATCATCAGTCGGACAGTACAGGCGGCTACAGGCTGAACCAGGTCCCCATTCGCTGTTTGCAAGGACATCATATTAAGAGGCGTCGTCACTTTTCGGAGCTTGCGGCAAAGTTTAGCGTCTATCACGGAAACGGCAGCACCAGTATCCACTAGAGCATATGCTCGAGTACCTTCTACAAAAACTTCGACAATATTCGACGGCAATGTCCGAGGACTTGAGCATTTCGACAGCGCAGTTCTTGCCTCCTGAACTGCGGCGGTTAGTTTCCCTCGTGTTCAGGAGCTGGCCGACGACGCATGGGTGACAGGGAGCGACGACGGGGTGAAGGTGAGCGACCAGACATAGTGCGCGGACATTCCCGTGAAGACGAGCTCGACTGAGGGTCAGAATTTTCCAGACGGGATGGAGAAAGGTCCATGAAGCTGTTCTGTGTCCGGCCGTCTGTGTATCCCGGCACGCGACGACGGCAGTAACGGGCGATATGGCCAGGGCCGCCGCACGCAAAACAGATGGGCCGGTTATCGCGCGTTCTCCAAGCATTGGCGACGAGGGGACCAGTCCATGCGGCAGACGGGCGAGTCGAGGCTGTGGTGGCAATGGGAGGAACCCAGGCGGTGGACGGCTCAGTCGGGGCTGAGGTATACGGCAGTCCCTGGAACGACGGGGGGTGGTGTCGCTGCTGCCGCTTTAGTGCCTCAGCGTAAGTAAGAGGCGCGGTGACGGGGGGCTGCTGCAAGGGCACCGGCATAGCCTCGGAAATCTGCTCCTGGACCACATGTCGGAGCATGGCAGCCAATGGTGGTGGGTGTCGCAGTGGCTGTTGGTGCGAGAGCTCCTGGCGTTGAGCAAAAGGTAGCAGAGAAAGCTGCCGAGCCACTTCCTCTCGCACGAAGTCTTTCATTTGTGTGAGAAGGTTTGTCTGGTCAGTCATAGCGTCCAGTGCGGTCACTGGTTGGATTATCTGGAATGAGCGTCGCGTCTGAGCTCGTTGCCTCCGCAATTCATCATAGCTTTGGCACAAAGTCACTACTTCTGCCACAGTGCTTGGAGACTTCGCGAGAAGCATCTGGAAAACGTCATCGTCGATGCCCTTCATAATGTGCTGTATCTTCGCACTCTCGCTCATGGAAGCATCGACGCGCCGGCAGAGATCAATCACATCTTCTATATATGATGTGAAAGTTTCACCTGGCTCCTGTGCCCGTGTGCGCAGACGTTGTTCGGCGCGTAGCTTCCGTAAGGCAGGACGACCAAAAACGGCACGTATTGCCTCCTTGAAGGCGGACCAATTCGCGAACTCGGTTTCGTGGTTCGTATACCACAGCTTGGCCACGTCGGTGAGATAAAAATTGACAGTGCCTAGCTTAGCAGCGTCATCCCACCTGTTGGGTCCACTGACTTTCTCGTATGACGACAGCCAGTCCACGACGTCCTGGTCTTCGGTGCCGGCAAAGATCGGGGGGTCTCGCTGATGAACCGGGCCGGGGCAAGTAGCGGCCGCGAGAGGTATTGTTTGTTGGGCAGCGTCAACTTGCATGGTCGACGGCAGGGTGCGAGATTGGAGTTCCAGGTTGTAGGCGATGTGGTTACCCAGCACGATCCACCAAATGTAAAGAGGTTTATTGGGCGAACCAAGCGGGCAGGTGGGAGGTTGGAGATAGCGACAGGACGAGGAAGATGGCGGAGCTCGAGCGCCGATCTCGTGGTGCCATACTCTGCGATGATGCTTGCTGTTCCCTTTTGTTGTCCTCATTCTTTCAATATACTAGGAAAATTTTGGTACCTTTGCCATTCTGTTAAACCACCGCTCCACGTCTGCAGGAAAGTGCAAAGCTGCATCAGGTCATTTTTTGGTCTGGTGGCACAGAATTGTTATCGCGCCCAGCGTTAGCTCAACCGCGAGATCAAAGCGGTTTTGCATTCCCCGACGTTTCCGTCACGGCTTTTACATTGTGCCTCCGCACACTATTGCGAATACTAAGCAATGATGGCATGCCCGCTCAGACACTGGCTCGCTACCATCTGGGGCGATCACTACGTGTCTTCTTGTCGGATAGCCAAATAAACCAAGGTGCCCAATCAACTTAATTACCATCTTTGTATCGAGCCCTTCTGGCATTTCACCGACGTTTGGAAGCTACGTGCCCAGAGATAGAGGTGGCCGATTCTAAAGTGGTGGACACAATGGCCGCCCTTCTACAACCCTTGGTACCCCAGCATCGTCAATTTGTAATGAACCGCGCTTGGAAACCAATAACTGCCGCAGTGTTGCCAGGGCATCTCAAAGACTTTGTCTGGAGGTTGGGCTGGGGCTTGCTCCCCACGCGAGATCGGTTGCAGCGATGGCAGGTGGTTCGCACTTCCACTTGCCCTAACTGCGTCATGGTAGAGACCAATCGACATGCGATGTTTGAATGTGTGGTTTCCTGCCTCTTTTGGCGTGTGGTTAATGCTGATTTTCGGGGACAGGGTGTGCGAACTTTCGTGTCCAACGGCCGATTTCCGCGTAGCCGCTTCTCCGCTCTGTTAATAGTTGCGGGGCTGTTCAGCCTTTGGAGAAACCGATGTGAGGCCGTAGCTGCCAATTGCCGCCGGCGTGCTTTGTGGCCGATACTGGGGAGAATGAGACGAGAGATCCTCGCGTTCCTCTCCAAGGAGCTTTTCTTCCTCGGGGAGCAAGAGTTTCTGTGGCATTGGTCGTGCCCTTTCGTCAAGGTGGAACACGAAAGGATACAACTCATTTTTCAATTGACTTGGTGCTAAGCAGCGCCCGTTGAGTTTTTTTATATGATTTCATTTGTTACTTATCGTGTTTCATTGCATCTATTGTATCGTTATACCATTGTATCATGATATCGCATCGAGTTCTTGTGTACGTATATGCAAACATTGTCATGTATATTAGAGCAAATGTCTTCACTGTAACGTAGTGATGTTAGTCGTGAAATATAGATGTGCCGAGGTGTATATGCCCTGTTACTGGAATGGTATGAAGCCTTTGTGTTCTGTGCATGCTTTAAATAATTTTTTTCTAAACAGGGCAACATCATCCTAATTTATAAGAATAGAGGCGCCAAGGCTTTGAAAAATTACAGGTTGATCAGCTTACTGTCTCTTATATACAAAGGTTTTACGAAAATAATAACTAGTAGAATTTTGGTGACATTAGAGTTTACTCAACCTAAGGACCAAGCAGGATTTCATACAGGCTGCTCCACAATAGATCAAATTCATACTATCAATCAGGTGATAAAAGAATTCACGGAATACAAACAACCCGAATGCAATGTCTTCGTAAATAACAAAAAGGCGTTTGACTTAGTCGAGAATTCAGGAGTAATGCAGTTACTACGGAATCCGGGCATCAACAAACTCTACATAAACATACTGGAGAAAATCTACAGCAGATCCGCAGCCACTATATTTCTCGATTAAAAAAAGCGACAGAATCTCAATAAAGAAATGTGTAAGTCAGGAAAACCCGATCTTTTCAATGCTATTCACCGCGTGCCTACAGGACGTTTTCATGGTCCTAGATTGGGAAGAGTTAGAGATAAGATTTAATGAAGAGTATCTTGAAACCGGCGATTGGCTGATGACGTTGCCTTGATGAGTAACTCATGGGACAAATTATAGCTTCTAATTACTGAACTGGACACGGAAAGCAGAAAAGCAGGCCTGAAATAATATACATAGAGCTAAAGTAATGTGCAACAATCTCGGTTGAAAACAGCGCTGTGCCATAGTTAGAGAGACGCAGGAAGTTGTAAAGGAATATGTCTACTAAACGCAGGTAGTAAGAGTTGAGCCGAACCATGAAAGTGAAATAACCAGAAGAATAAGCATGGCGTGGATCAGATTTAGCAAGCGTTCACAAATCATGATTGATAATCTACCACTAACCCTCAAGAAAAAAGCACATAACAGCTGCACCTTGCTGGTATACGAAGCAAAAACCTGGACGTTTACAAAGAGGAATCAGCTTAAACTGAGGACGACTAGGCAGGCAAGAAGAGAGAAGACTGGTTGAGCAAATATAGTGGGGTTAAGGATATCATAGTTGAAATCAAGAACAAGAACATGGACATTGGCGGGGCACGTAGCACGTAGGCAAGATAACCGCTGGTCATCAAGGATAACTGACTGGATTTTCAGAGAAGGCAAACGCTCGAGGGGAGACAAAATGTTAGATCGGCCGATGAGATTAAAAAGTTTGCAGGTACAACGTGGTAGCAAGAAGCACAAGACAGGGTTGATTGGCGGATCAAGGGAGAGGGCTTTGCCTTGCAAAAGCCGTAGTCACCCGTATGAGGATGATGGTGATGAGTAATATAGCGCTCCTTTTTGAGGCGCCGTTTCTTCTCGTAATCACAGCTTGTAAAACTTGAGCCAGGGTCCATTTTCTGGTGCAGAAATCATGGCATAACCACTCATTTTCATTTCACCCTGCACAAAGAATGGAGACCAGGGAGTAAAAATAGTGCTAGTGTGTAATAAAACAGTGTTCAATGATATTAGACAAAATAAAAAAAGCATCAAGAACTAAGACGACAATGATCAAAATATTAGCTAGGTTTCGTAACAAACATATCGCGTACAAAAGCATACCTTGATTTTTTACCGTTGTCTTTCTTAAGTATGTGATAGACGAATGGTTTAAAACATGTTCAATGAATCAGTAGCTTTGCCTCAATGTCATCAATCGTCTATACTTAAAAGCATCTCGCCCAATCCTAATATTTTAACAGCACGGCACTATCAAGAGGACGGCATTCAATTTAACAAAAGAAAGTTGATCAATAGTTCGTTACCTAGTTGCTAAGGAACGTGGGGATTACAGTACAACAGATCTTCTGGAAGCAGACGGGACAAAATTATGGATGGCGACCACGTGAGCAGTGATGCCTTGTCACTGGTCTCAGGAAATGACTTGATGTATTTTTTTATTGGCGCTTCTCGACCTTTGCGTCGTACAAAAAAAAAACAACTGCGATTTTACGCACGTCAAGAGGTACATTTTAATTCCTAAATTCTTAAGTTTCCGCTGACTACATCTGGTGAGAGGCTCATGGTCATGTATTTAAACCTTCTTTTGATGGTTGAGATCGCACAGCATAATCAGTTTGTGGTGTGCAGGTGCATCAAGCTTTTCAGGCACATACAAGAATGAATGCAGAACACGAGTGCAACATCTATAAGTGTCAGGCTTTTCGCACCTTCTGAGATTCGCCAAGCTCGACTCGGTATCGTTGCACAAGCCTGGCGAGGGTGTATCGAAGCTCCAGGCGGGCCATCTGGAAGCCCACGCAATGACGGGGTCCCACGCCGAATGGTTGGAATGCCATCTTGTAGATGGAGGACTCATTCTCTGGACTGAACCTGTAATTATTCGTCGTGAAGCACTCGTTTGGCCATCGAACCCACTTTCTCACTGTCATTCAAGATTCACTCGAGGTTTTGCAAAATTCAAAAGAGTGGCTACTAGGACTGGTTGGTATTGTTTTTTTAAGAAATACTTTCTTTCAAAAAAATTCGCAAAATTAACAGCTATCGTAAGACAAGTCATCTCTTGTGATATATTCGATGAAGCACCTTACAAATAAGAAACATAGAAATATAGAGAAGTGCACACTGGAAGCGCAAAACCTCGTAAATACGTCAATTCAGCAATAACTATATTTAAATTGGAACTTTGAAACTCTGCGTCCTTCTCACAACGTGTAATAACAGCTGTAAGCTGATGCATGTGTCACACGCATTCTCACGACACCGTGACACCTAATATATCACGGTTATTTTTTTCTTCTAATAATGGAGTTTTGCTTATGTTTAACGCAATATTTTCTGTATCATGAGGAGAGTATATGCATGCCCTAACGCGAAAACACAACATATGAAGAAACAAATACACAGCCCAGCCCACAGTCCTGGACTAACGAGCGAAGGTGCTCCTGATAGCATAGTATGCAACTGCACGTATTGTACGAAATAGCTACGACTCAGGAGTACAATATACTAGGGCAACGTGTCTTAGAAATTCTTACCTTTCAGGATCGAAAGTGTCTGGATCAACCCAGTAGCGAGGATCTCTGTGCAGCTGATACGTCGGAGACATAATGCACGTGCCGGCCTTGAACTTCATGCCATTCCACTCGAAGTCTTCGTCAGCTTGCCGTGATGTGGCGCTGGAGATAGCAATATATGTTTCGGAAAAAAGAAGTGCTATAGCTAGGCCGGACGCAATGTGTATGTGTAAATTATAGATTTATTGGTAATGAGGCTACAAAGATGTTACGGCAATAGCAATGATGTTCACAAATTCATGACTGCGTCTATCACTCATACAATTCTATCTTGTAAGTTTCCTCGTCTCCTCCCAAGACCAAAGGTTCACGGTGGAGATGGGCAATTGGCGCCCATAGCGTAAGCGCAAATGAGACAGTCAAATACAACACTGGTTGGAGCTTGTTCAATTCAAATAACTGACTGTCAATATTACTCTTGAACAAAACTTGCAACTCGGTTGATTTCGAATGGACCTTTAAAGTGCACAAATAGTTAGGCAAGGATAACTTTTGCAGGGCAATTACGAGACGCTGGGAAAAGTGGGCAATATGCAAGGCAAAATAAACCTAATTTAATAGTCAGGAGTATGAGAGAGCCTGAAAGAAGGAGAGATGGTAAATTTGTGGCGACTGGAGGAAACAAAATGTCGATTAAGATATTCAAATAAAGCAACAAATATCTGCAGGGAAAACTTGCATAATGAAAAGGTTAGTGGTCTGATGTATTCGATGCGTAAGACGGCTGCCTGAGCAAAAATAGGTGTTAGCACATCATTCTAATTGAGGCAGAACAAGTGTCGCCAACAGCTAATGTCTTGAAGAGTTTGACCACCTGTGTTTCATATGTGGACTACCTTCGTCATGGAGCAATCGTAGACCGCGTCAGCGTTGCAGAAGCACCTCAATGCAGTGCAAACGAAACTGGCCACATTTGAAATGCGGAAACGTCAATAATAGTATTCATGAAAGAAACTTGAAGTGCACATCATGAATTCAAAGATTTAACGGGTACAAGAAAGTGCGTACAATAAAGCGAATACTTTCATGCAAAAATAAACAGCTACTAAGTCACAGGAAAAAGTTGTACGCTACCACACATTTTTTCAGCTGGAGGAAGCTAGGCAAGTATATTTTGCCGCCCTGTTCCCAAAGTGAAACGATAGAATTAAGAACCATCGTGGTCTGCTGTGTCAATCGCATTTCTTCGTAGCAGTTCGTATGTATAAAGTAACACACAAACATGACGGAAGTTTCTAACAATGTGTATAAGATAATATGTTCACTTATTAAAGGACACACAGTGGCCGAGAAGGTGAGTGACAAAAGTGGTTGATGAGATAACAAAAACGATTGTTGTAAGCATCACATATTAACAGCGCCAACTATCCAAGACAAAATTATTGTTATCATGTCAGAAAAAAAATTGAGGCATGAAAACTAGCACTGATCGGCTACAAAGATTTCCTTAATTATGCTACAGCACCAGATCTTTGGGTGATTGTCCTACGGGATCCTTTAGGTGTGGTTGGCTGCCTTACACAAAGAAAATTCGCTCAAGTCAAGAGTCAGCATTATTGTTAGTTTGCATAAGTAAATGAGAAAAGCAAGAGCCTTGCACATACACAACTGCCGGAGGGTACAGCCTTAGTCCTTCCTCGACAACTTGGATGAGATACTTCAACTTCTTCGTGAGCATATCGTAGTCCAAAATACCCTTTTGAAGAAAAAAAGCAACAAGAAGTCATTTTTCATAGCACACATTTTCATAAAAAGCCAATACAGCAAAAAGTGATCGTGCTAAACATAAAACAATCTTCATGCGTCACTCTTCTTGCACCTTACCCTCAAGCGTCAGCGTTGCGCGGCACATAATCAAGTGTACATATGATCTCTAATTGGCATAGTTTGTCGCAAAAGAGAAGTATAATATCAACGGGGGTATGCGATGGCAAATTGTTAGGTGGGCGAGAATCGGCGTCAATTCCTATAGGGGTATGCACCGACAGTTCTTCAAATGTCGCAATAATTTGTGTATTTACCGTCAATTATTATCTTGGTGTAAATAAAGCACAACAAAAATTGTCATAAAGAAAAATGCCATTGGCGAAACTGAAGAGGCAGTGACAATGGAACACTGCAATTTGTAAAAAAAAAAGCAGTTCTGGCAACACAGACCACTGGACGTATGCTCTCAAATATCAAGTATAACGAGGCGTTAAAAAAGCGATTACAAAGTCCAGGAAGACCAATAGTAAGCAGAAAATGTCGGGAACGGGCGCTGTACACGCCTTACTACAAAAATGCGCGTGCGACTGGTTCCTTCGGTTGCCCCTATACAAATGTACCATAGTAGTCACCCCGAGACCCCTTATGCACATGTGCCCACTTGTTTCCACTTTTCCGATTTTCATCCTGCTTTGATACTTATTTTCTTTGTTCAACTTTACTTCTTGAGTTTCCAACAGAGTATACAGACTTTAGAAGCTTTTCTTTATATCTTCATTTTATAGTATCATTAAACTTTGTCCAACATCCCGCACCCACTCGCGATTCTCTCAAACGCGACATGACCGTACTCACGTCCTGCCAGTCTGTTTTGTGCAGGTGAAAGACACTCACAGAGACAGCCGAAGGCATGACATTCGCGACTATCCTTTGTAAAGTGAGCAGGCCAAATATGACAAATATAGGTACAGCAATAAAAACATCGGCCTTTCTGTATAAGGCATCCATGCTTCTACGCAATAGGTCACTTCATGTACTTCAGCGAAAAATGCTTAAATTACCTGAATTCAAATAATTAACCCTAATTTACACTTACCCCCTTACATCTATTTTCTAGATCTCTGAATCGCACACATACATTTTGCACTTTGGCCCTGCACTATTTCACGCAATATATAAAGAGGTAAGTAGGCTGTCATGGTTTCCTGACGTACCGATTCTGATTCGCTGACAGCTTGTTTCACTTCCTCTCTGAGCTTCTCTTGGACGTCCTGGTGCTTGGCGAGCAGGAAACTGAGATAGCACATGGCAATCGACGTCGTCTCGAAACTGCGAAGAGCGGGGCGCAAAGGTCACTAATTTATTGCTTTTACATTCGAATTTCTGATACCTTACCGTTGGCGAAAAACGGAGGAAGTCTTCGCATAAGCAGAAGTTGGGACACAGCCATGATTACTTGATGAAATAATTTTTCTGAATGTGTTCTACAGTGCAGAGGTCTATAAGTAACCTCAGCTAGAGGGGCGTATTCATGAAATTTATGCCAGCAAGGGCCGAGACAGCGAAGATTCTAAGAGCAGAGGTATAAAGGAGGCAGGTTCATAGAGAGTTTGATGCAACATGTCACCAAACGTTGCCTCTTGGACCACTTTTATTTCACTAGGTCGGAGATCCCACAAATAGGTAATTTATGAAGGGTCCATTTTATATCAGGGTTGAATAAGGTTCGGATACTGATTTCCAAAGTAGCTAAAATCTCAAAGCCTATTGTAGAATATTAAGTTTTGTTCCATGGTAATTTTGGAATGAATAATGACCACATGGAGTGCCTCATTAAAAATTATCAAGGCTAGTCCCGCATGCGTAGCCCACCTGATAGGCGAAGGCAGGAAACTACGGCGAATGATATATAGCAGAGCTACATAACTTTATTTCGTGTAAATCAGCAGGCTGCTGCTGTTGGGGGGAGGGGGGGCACAATGTGGGCCACCTGTTAGAGATCTCCACAGTAGCCGGATAGTTATAATAGTGCAATTCAGATATGTGTGTTTTAACCACACAATATGTGCCGACCTCACGGCGATGACTGACGGTCAATTAATTTTACATGATCTCTTAAAGGGTTGTGTAACTGTTAACTTATAGCTCTAATTTGTGAATGGTTGTGCAGAGTTTCCAGTATAACATCAATGAAAAAACAATTTTCAGAATCTACTCACTGAGGCACTGCACAATTTAGCGTCGAAAAGTGTTTTTTTTTTTAATCTGCCATTTGAGATTCACCAGGTACTTCCAGTTGTATTGCACTTCTTGTATTTCTCGGTGCACTTAGCTTTTTTTTTCTAGTATGCACATTTATACGAGGATAAATGTTGCGACAAATGGGCTGAAAGCAATATTCAAAACCACATGGAAAGAGCCCGCCACAGAGGGACGTTTTTACTGTTTCTTTAGGATTTGACTTTTACCTGGCAGTTTCGTTCACGAGAAATCTCGTTGAGACGATCGAGAATTTCATGTGTAAGCCGTATACCGTTGACTCCTTAGGGCGGACCATTTGGTTCCGCATTTGGCTATTGCGCTGAACAGTACGAATCTGATATTAGGCCAAACAAGATGTTGAGCGATTGCTTAGTTCATATGATCTGTAAAGTTACGCCCTAGTTAAGCTGCCTGATAAAGGTGTTCATCTCACCCTCCCATGAAGAGCAAAGTGGCGTTCATGATCACTTCTCTCGGGGAAAGAGCTCGAACCCTCTTCTTGAAACCATCTGCTGTAGAAACAAAAAAAAAATGGAAGTGAAAATGTTTAGCAAATTAAGCACAAACTGCTTTTCATTGCTCATGAAGAACACAAACACGGCGCACAGAGTACGGGGACAAAGTGAATAAACGAACTCACAGACAGGGGCACCAACTTCCAACTGTTGTGTCGGAAACTACACTATGCAGAACTGTTAGGAAAAAATGACAGTTTTTTAGTCGCTCATGAAGATGTGTGTCACCATGCGACTACTCTTGATATGATGTTAATTTCTATGACAGTATTCTTAAATCTGCGTGGTTTCTGTGATCCCACAGTTGGAAGTTGGTGTTCTTGTCTGTCAGTTCGTTCCTTCACTTAGTCCATGCACAACTTGCACGTGTTTTTTTTTTTCTCATGTACGCACCAACCAGCTCAGAAATAGGCCCTGTTGTTTTTCAACACTTCGTGCATGGCCTTTGCGAAAAGTCGGTACTCAATTCCCAGAGTCGCAGGTTGCCCAAAGTCAGCAATTATGTCCTACCTGTTTGTTTCACTCCGCTTTCATTCACGGCCTCACTCAAGGCTTCTTCCTCGATTTCAGCGTCTAACAAGTTTTGCAGGATATCGGGCTTGCGAAGCTGCGAAAATAACATTAATGAATCAAAACTCTTTGAACACACATTTGAAGTGTTTAAGCGAAAAAAAGGAAAACAAAACGAAAATTGTGGCCCCATCTGTAGCGACCACTCTGAGGGTTCTTCTTGTTTGCATAACGTAAGCAAGATCTTCAATGCATTGCTATATTAAAATTCTGCATCTGCATTGTGAAACTGTACAGGTGAACTGACATTATGGGCGAAGCTCTTTATAGCATCACCTGGTCGTCGTCCTTCCATTCTGTGTCACCAGCATAACCACAGAGTGAATGATGATGAGTAGGGCGAAGCACCCGTCCGTCCGATGCGTGCTTTAATGTGATAGGGAGTGGACAGACAGAGAGACAGCCGAACGAATGAACGAGCGAACGAGCGAACGAATGAACAAACGAACGAACGAACAGGATGAACGGACGGATGGACGGACGGGTGGACGGACGGACGGACGGAAAAAAGAACGCACACGCGGATGGACGCTTCATCCCACTCATCATCATTCTATGCGTGGATATGCTGTGATATTTTTATAGTTTAATACAGTGGTCAAGATTTGAACAGCCATAAATGCTGTGGCAGTGACCTGTTGGTTAAGCATCATCCGTAGGCAAATTGCTTAATATTAATAACGCGCATTGTTCGGAGCAGAGCGAGCAGCCGCCAAGTGCATACGATAGCGTACAAATATAACTGTTGCTTTAACCGTGCCTAACAAGCTGTTCATACTGTGCGGTAAACCTAATAACCCCCCCCCCTCTCCCACATGAGGGCTTTCAATGCATTAGCAAACATAAGTCACAGCGTGTTAAGTGTGTTCCAAATCGCGTGTACAGGATATTATTTACAAATGCAAAAGAGTACGTATGTGACCCAGACTCGCCGCTGTTCGAATGAAAGGCTCCGCTAACACCAATTTAATTATAACAAGAACCATCCGCAGCCCTTTTAGAATTCATTTTAAAAAGTGCGACTCACGTCCCGTGTTCAGTAATGTGGCGTGTTACCCGCTAACAGGAAGCAACTAAGGTGCGAAATCATAGAGGCTCACAAGACTGTATGGTCAGAAAATAGATGTGTTATCCCGTCTGTATTATCATGTCATGTGCTCAAATATTCTCGCATCGGTGTCCATTCGATATCTCTTCATTCGTTTTCATTTTCTTCTTTATAAGGACGAATCCTGATACGTATATATTTAATTATTTACGTTCTTAGCCCCAATGAAGTTAAGTGGCCCGTGTGCTTTAAGGTCCTTGTCTATCGCGCCGTTTTCTCTAATCGAAAGAACAAAAACAGAATAGACAGAGAAAGAAAAGAAGTAGAAAAAAAGAAATACAAAGCATCAGGTCCGAAAAACAGCCACAAAAACAGTGAGAAAGATAAAGAACGTGAAGATACAAAGATGAACGATGACGAGTGGGAGAGGCTAGGTCTTAAGGTCCATGATGTCAAGGTTGAACCGACGGACGCACGAACGAATGGACGTATAGCGTGCATGGATGGACGGACAGAAAGATACACCGATGGACGGATGAATGGACAGATGCACAAACAGATTTATGGGCAGAGTACAGTGTACCTGTAAACCATATACATGCTATGTACGCTCCGAGACAGTATTGCGCGCACTTGTCTCCCCCCTGAGCTTCGACTAGGGACGGCAGCGAGCCTCGACAATAAAGGTCGGACATTGTGCTACCCTATGTACTTCACCCTTAAAATACAACATGCAGGGCCACCTAACTGCCTTTGTTCATCAGGCTTGGCTCCATTAGTGTGAAGCTTCGATATGTTGCATCTTGCATATTTTGCAGCTTCCATTTCTGCTGCATCTTGTCGAGCGATGACCTCATAAATCCCTTGTGCTATATACGTCCCCTGTAGTAATGTCGGATCAGCATACTTCACCTTACGTTGATGCCGTAAAACATTCTATAAGGTACATGAAGCCATGATGAATAGTTGTATGGGAAAAAAATTGCAACATACATATCGAGTCGCCATGACTATTCATTTTCATTCTTCGCCATTCTCCTGGAAAGTTCTAGATAAATCCATTTTTTAGTGATCTCGTGCACTTGCAGAGGCGTCTATGCTATTGTTCTTGTTCTGCTTTGTGGTAAGCTCACAGCCCAATACTGTTTTGCAAAGTGAGTATTTTTGTTGTTTACCAGCGTCACAGGGTGGCTAAAGCCGAAGAGGCGTCAAGCGTCGCTAGATTTATCCTACTCGACAGGGTATACGCAATCAAGGTCGTTTTATTCTTTATTCCCAGCGCAAAGAATCGTGCATGGTGCGTGTCTTGAAAGGCTTCTTGCCGAAATTTCTTTTTTTTCATGTATGCTTCTCTTTTCTATACTTATTAGTCGTTTCCCTCCAAAGGGCCCGTGAACGCGTGGAGGACCATGGCCTTTCGGCCCCAACGTGGGCGTGGCCCACGACTACGACAGTGTAGTTCCTTAGGACCCAAATAAAGTTTGTTGACTGAAAAACTGACTTTAAACGGACTTTAAACTCACCTCTGGGTGTCTCTTGCGCTTTTCGATCATCTTCGTAGTCTCCTTTGAAAAAACTTTGAATGTGAGGGAACCGAATTGGCCAAGAAACCAATAGAAAGGCTTCATTGCGTTGCCCAGTGTGGTTGTGCTCTCTGTGCAAAAGGCAAGCAGGAACAAGGAGAAAGGCTAATTCAGTGCCGGGACATGTAGTTGTCGTTAGTGACTCTTGTACTAAAAGCCTTGCCAATGTGTACTAAAAGCCTTGCCAACTGGTTCATAATTTCATCTTTGACTAGTCGTCTCGAAGCACTCTAGAGCGCTCCCCTGAGAGAGAAGGAGGTTGCGCATCTATCTTTCTTCAAGATTTCTCTCTCTCTCTCACAAACTCTTTCTCTCAGGAGAGAGCTCTAGAGCACTCCTAAACGACAAGTCAAAGATGGCATAGGTGTCATGGTAAACCTATTGAGCAGTTGTACTTGAGTTCAACTTATCGCTGTTTTTGTTGTCATTATATTTTTGAATAAAACGGATGTGTCAAACGACTATTACTAAGTAGCCTATGATATTATAAGTAAAAGTATTCATATGTGCGGTGAAAGGTAATAACTATTTTGAAAATATTGCGTATCTTTTTTTTTGCTGAATTGATCAATAGGCATGGTTGGTGCCGTTACGGTGGCCCTTCCCGCTTAGCAGACAAATATGTGGTAAAAATACAATAATAAAATAAAAATGCTATACAGCACAACAAATCATGTGCAAATGTAGTGCAAACGAATGACACATGAAAGGCATGAAATAGGCAAAAAAAGTTCATGTGTGCAAAAGCCGTGGAGCTTAAGTAGAAATAGGTAAAATACCTTCAAAAGAAGACGTTCAAACTTCAGATATGTGTTTCACATGCGCTGGAAAGCACACTATAACAGATAATTACACATGACACCAAGCACAAGATCACAGCATTAGACATTTGCTTTTATTACAAATGGTGCGTTAATTTTCCCTTGAGGTAATTGACTCTTCAAAAAAAATTTAAATGTGACCTGCCTTTTTTTAAAGGCCCACCGTTGCATTAAAACCACACTCTATTTGCAAATGGCAGCGAAATTGTTCCCTAGAGGTAATTTTTACATTCGCAACTGTGCCTCCATCTAGGTGTCATATAAAATGTAATCACCTGTTTTCTAAAGCCACAATTCGTAATGCCGGCTTATGTGTGGTGCAATAGTCCAAGCAATGTTACAACTCTTCAACAGCAGATTTTACAGTGATTTGACACTGCGAAATTATCATTTTGTTCCCTTGGTTGTGTGTGTGTGTGTGTGTGTGTGTGTGTGTGTGTGTGTGTGTGTGTGGGGGGGGGGGGGGTGTGAGAGAGAGAGAGAGAGGGTTGTTTGGGCGGTGTGAGGTACGGTTCAAAAGGAGAATCGTAACATGGGTCGCTGCAAGGTACGTGAAAGATAATATTTCACTCCTCTCAGTTACAGTAGGGCAAAGGTCCGGTGCTCAACCAAGGCATGGGCGTGAATGCTGCGAACTAAGTTTATCTATGACTTTCTCTCTCTGCGCTAAGATATGTACCTCGTGAACAGTGCTGAACTTACGGAGCAGACTTTTCGGTTCCTGAACGACAAGTGTGGCAACCATTACATTTTTCAGCAATGACCTCTGATTGCTGCTAATGGATGTATTCCGAACGGTCAGACACGATGAAAATCTTCATAGCGTATTCTTAGAGGAAGCAAACTGCGAAGACAAATAAGAAACCTCATGTACGTGCACCAGAACGATCAGCATCAGTGGTTTACGAAGGATTGCGTCAAAGTGATAAGCCACGGCTCATGATCTCAATGATAAACAGCCAAACATTGATAAGGCAAAATACAGAAATAGCATTGGTGCACTTGTACTTATGCTGATGCTTAGCAAAAGCTAACATGCACGCGTTGGAGATAGTTTGCAACGAGAAAACAGCTAAAAATCTCCCAGACAGCGCTGCAACATGACATTTTTACCAAGCGGTGGTCAAAGCAGGCGCTTATGTTTGAGCACGTGCTGCATACCATGATTGTTGCCCCACCGCGGCGGTCTAGTGGCTAAAATACTTGTTTGCTAATCCGCAGGTCGCTGGATTGAATCTCAGGTGCGGCGGCTACATTTTCGATTAAGGCGAAAATGCTGTAGGCCCGTGTGCTTATATTTGGGTGCACGTTAAAGAACCCCAGGTGGTGGAAATTTCCGGAGCCCTCCGCTACGGCGTTTCTCAACATCATATGGTCATGTTGGGACATTAAACCGCACGCATCATAATAACCTAATTGTTGGGGTTTAACGTCCCCAACTCCCGGTGTGATTATCAAGGACGTGGTTCTTCACCTCTGGTTTATCAACGTGCCTTACGTATACGGTCCTTCAGCATTTTCGCCTCTGTCGAACATGCGGCCACCACTGTTGCGATTAAATCTCGCGACATACGGGTTATCAGTCGAGCGTAATTAACCCTGTATATCTGTGGCCAATTCTCAGCACGTTCTTGAATGATCTTGAAAAGGACGTTTACAAGCGCTGCCCACTATAACATGGGACCCTTCGGTGAATTTTGGGGACAATGTGGTTTTGGCTCTATAAAATGGTATTTTTGAAATTCTAGTAACGCGCAGTTCAAAATTCAAGCTGAAGTGCAAAAATAGAAAACTCTTTGGGATTGGAGTTGCTCTGTAGCCAAGAACTACGCATACCCGCGTAGGAAAGCTCTATTTTCAAGCAATAAATGTCCTTATGCAATGGAATACTAACCAATAACTCTTTGTGTAAATAAATTGTCAATAAACCAGCAATGGTTTTGCAGTTTCGTCACTCAGTTTTCTTAATTCAGCCTCGCTTTCATTATCGCATAAGGCAAGACAACTGTCTTGAGTAACGTAGTTATGTCGATGAATAAACCAGCCAACGCACGTGCAATCATGTGGGCGGGCCCCGTCATCACTCCCGGCAGCACCCGACGAGCTGTTGTGAAAAAGATGTTTTCCACGTCGCGCTGGAAGCATGTCTCGATGCCGAAGGCCCCCTGGCCGATGTAGTCCATAGAAAGCGCTTGGAACTGTAGGCGAAGGTTCACCTCCTTCTCCGAGTCAGCGTAAAGCTCCAGCATGTCCATGAAAACCTCGGCTGACTCCGCGATGTGCGGAACCATCTGTGCGTTGTGCAAACAATAGAGTGAACACACTCACGTTCCTTCAACGATTCACAGGACATGTAAGCAGCGCGCTAACAGAGACCCGAACATTTATATTAGGTTGCACCATTTTAAATACAATTTCTCGGATTTTGCGTACGATATGACCACATGGTTATTCGGCATACTGTACTGGACGGCTTCGAAAATTTCTATATTTAAGGCGCATTCACATCGCAGACCACACGGGCCTCTAGCGCGTCGCGTCCCTCGAACGAGAACCGCCGCGGCCATGATGAAAGTCGTGACCTTCGGGTCACCAGCTGAGTAGCGTCACCACCGCACACTCCTTGGTGGACTGTCCGTCTTTAGATTTGGATGAAGTCTACGAAGTGCAGTGCGGAGAAGTCGGACGTTTCACGGAAGGCTGGCACATTCATTGCACGATTATTTTATGCAGCTCCTGCAGCGGCCACAGTTTATCGATCGAAATATTCCCCTCCTAGTTTTAATGCGAGCTACAATTTTATTTGAGGCAATATTTAGTCGTAACCAAAATGAAAAGTCAAGGAAGGCAAAGCCAGCAATTCACGAGATTTTTATGTGCATAAGCATGTGCAGGTTTTCACTACAAAAGGGCGGAGGAGCACAGGTTTGTTGCAGCGCCCCCCTCTTTGTTAACTCAATGTGTGGGGCAATCGAAAGGAAACTTGGGCTAGTTGGTTGTAATTCATTATAAAGGAACAACAACGCTGAAAATAGATGAATACAAGGGAGACATTACACGGACGCTGTGTCATGAACCCATATGGCCTTTCGGTCCACAACCTAGCACTGTAATCACTGATCCATCATGGCAAATATATATACTTACATTGTGACGATTTGTATTACCTTGCTATCTTTTTACTCCACTTTATAATGTGTTCTGCAGCTTAATCCCATATTTTGCTTCAAATTTTAATAGAATTGATTTTGATATTTAGCTCTTGTTATGCACCCGTGCTTGCTCTTTCCACCACAGTAGGATGTTTGCAAAAACAAAATAAACAAATGTTAGGAAAATGAATCAGAGCCACACATATTTAGGGTTCTAAACCAATCTGAAGCATTTCAATGAACCGATCAATTGGTCACAAAGTTAAGCTACAGAGTGCAGTGTATCCTGCAGATTGCTTTAACATCTAAGATGAAGGGGCACCATTTGCAACAAAGCATTATAGTGCCTAAGTGTCATAACCCATACCAGTCCTTCAAGTGCACAAGGAGCAGTGATGTGTGCATGTAAAATATAATAACAAATCAGCCACAGTTGCACAAGTTTGATAACAATACATAAAATATTAGAGCATACTTGGAGACCCATATTTAATACTCTGCTAACTCGAATAGTTCAATATACCTTTTTTTTAATGACACCAAGGAAAAAGATGTGTGCGAATGCCGAATCTCATTGACCACCAAACCATGCATTTATTAGTACGTTCTAAATATGCTTTGAGCAAGAAAGAAGCTTTACTGTTTACTTTCTTGCTGTATACGGATTATATTGACAAGCAGACTTGTTTTATGTGCACGTAACTTGGGCGTAATTTTCTCTAAACAAGAAAGTAAAGCTATTTCGTGGATTCTATCGAAGATATTTTTTTTGCAAGGAAATGGTACACACAAAAAACAGCTTCACAAGAACTGCCAAAAATTTACACTTGACAGCGCCAAGCAATTTAGAAGTTGACACCAGTCGTTACATATTTGTTTTATGTAGCCCTCATGTCACTGTAAAAACAAAAAAAAGCACTGCGGAAATTCCCACACCTTTCGGAGGGCCCACATAAATGTGTGAACGCATCACCGCTGCAGAGAAGAGTGGCCTCAGTGACAAGGTGATTTATCCCACAGCGTGGCATCTCACTCTTTACCTGTTTCAGTTTGCTGCTCGTGAAACCGGATGTGACGCAGCTGCGCATTCTCCTCCACTGGTCGCCACGCACGTGGATCACCATCTGACCGACAACCGGATGCATCTGGTCAGTCCGCATCGTAACCTGTTGGTGCGTCAGAAAAGGAAATACCGTAGTATTTCTAAAATTGGTATGTGTTTATGTCCCATATAGTAACACGTCACGCACACATGCAGACTCACATGCGCAGTGAATGTGGACGCTGCTGCTTCAAAGAGGCCTGGTATTTTCAAAGCATAATAATAGAGTAGTTTACATTGCATTGCATTATGTACAGTAGTCACTGATAGAAATTTGAAAAGTTACGACTAGGTAAATTAACTTCCTTTGCAAAGTGTACATTTCTTGTCATATCATTCCGCATGATGGACTTGTGGTTATTGTGCTCGTGTGATAATCTGCAGGTCGTTGGGTCCAATGCCGGCCGCGGAGGCCGCAGTTTCGATGGAGCTTAAAAATGCTTGGAACTCGTCTGCTTAGACTTAGACTTAGAAGTACACGTTGAAGAAGAGCATGTGGTCCGAATTTCCGTAGCCTTTCATTACAGCGTTCCTCATAATCACATGATAGTTTTGCGACGCTATACGCCAAAAAAAAAACGCCATATTCTCGTGCGTTATACCGGCGTAATCACGACTGGAACACTTACGCAAGAGACCACAGTCTGTTTTGTGGTCATGCTTGCAGCCTTTGGCGTAGCCAGCACCCATGTTATCCCCCCCCCCCTTCTGTAATACTTGTAGTTATGGCATGCCGAGCACAAAATGACAATCGGCACATATTCCTACCGCGACCTCACTTCAGATCAAAAAGGTGCTCTCCTCCTTGACTCCAGAGAAAAAAAAGTTCTGCCTATGTCCCTGTTTGCAGCAACATGATGCATCAATGATGAGCAATTACTCAGCAGTCATTGTACTAAAAAGCCAATTCGCATTTTATGCGTAAGTACTGCACACCGAACGAAGACACAAGGACGAAAGATAGCAACTAAGACTAGCGACGGCTCTTAGTTGAACTTCACTAGAGATAATACGCATAAATAACTAGCACTTGTGATCACAATCTCGTCCTGTTCATGGAACATTTCAAACTAAATATAGATGAAATCTCAGCAAACAAAATTTAATAACATAGAACAATGGCCGTTTGTCACCTATAGGTGGTTTTAAGTAAGAAAAAATCAGAAAAGAGTTCACTAATGTTTCATTATTCCATGGCTGCCGTTGCAAAGAAAATGCTTACTTTACAATAGCTGCATCACACCTGCTAAAGTGGCAGCGTTTCGTCAACTTTCACTCAATGCGTTATTGTCTATGTACTGGTATCGAGTAAATTATAGATCATCGTAACGTGGCACAATATGCGGACCTCTTGGTGTCCCTTAAATTGTGACCAGTTTGACATGGCACAATGTAGTATTGCATCGTGTTTAAGATTGAAAAAAGAAAACGAACAAGACAAACCATTTAAGACTTCGCTATTTTTCTTTTGGCGAATTTGTGCTTGGCAAAGCGAAAACTTCAACTTATATCAATGTAACAGTTGGAGCACCACAGTCGGGTTCGCTAATGTTGATCGTAGGCGAAACACGCCAGTTTTCACACACGAGTGCTTGGAGATTCCAGCAGCCTTGGTAATACTCGCATTGCTTGAAGAAACTCGGCGCACCAATCGGTATTGCGGGTGGCTAGAACCAAGCGAAACGCTGGCAGTGCTCTCACGACAAGTGAAACCAGTGGCTGTGCACTTGCGAGCCTTTCATGCGCACGAGCTCTGACCGAGAGGCGAGCGTACGAGATGGAAGAAGAAAGTAAGGTTAAAGGTCAGCAACCCGTGATACCGAGATACACCGCGTTCGCCCTCTGTGATCCTCGTTCCCTCTGTCGGTTACCACGATGGCTATGTCGCCCAACGCCGAAACGGGCGTCTAAGATCTGTGCTCTAGAAATTATAAATGAGGACGCAATGTTGCCAACCGCATCGTTCTCATACTGACCTAGTCATGGATTCGAGTGTGCAAGTGCGCACCAAGCGTATCTTACCCCACGAGCTGTGAAATTCTGGAAGTTCTTGATATAAGCATACTCCAGGAAATCCAGGTCCTTGATGAGGAGAAATGGGACGTCGCCGTTGTAGAACCTGTTTAGGTTAGGTACAGTAAAATTTCAACTGATGCACGTATGGTGAACTAGCTACATGTTACCAGCAAGTGCTGATGAATGCTACGAGATTAAAATAAAATCCAATATAGGCCCCATGAGGGCTTCCCACATTCGTGTTACTAATCAAATGGTTCAAGAAGAAGTTTCTAGGTTGTCATAGTCATTTATTAATTTAAGTTCTATTTATTTCAGTAACAACAAAAGAGAACGATGTAGCAAAGTTCCAACAAAATTTATGACACTAACGCAAAAATTAACGTTGCGCACAGAAGAAACACCTATGTCCCTAGCATTAGGTGGTGCGTGCACTTTCACAACTAAATTATTCATGTTACAGCTCGCCTATTCATAATTCAATACATTATAGCAGCTTTAATTCAGTCATTTAGGGCAATGCAGCAGTTTTACGACAGCAAGTAAAAGTATTGCTGCACACTTTTTTTCAAGCGGATGAGCTCCATTTATCACACCCTTACAGTTCGTTTGTATGGTCAACAAACATATCTTCTCGTACTTTAGTTTTTCACTGAAATTTCATTCTTTTTTCCATAACAGTTTCGCAGTTTTTGTGGCCTCTACTTTTCTATTAGAACAATCAGGCTATGCTAATGTTAACTAAAATGTCTTCGTTGTCAAGAAAGTATGCAGTGGCTTCTTTAAGATACAAGATAACTATGACGTTCAGAATATTTTGATGCTTTTAACGTGCAATAGCTATACAGTTATTTAAGGACTATCCTTTCAAAATCATGATGCATAGCCACGCCTATTAGCGATTCGCTATCCCAGTGCCGCTTTGAGGTTTACGGGCATGGTGACATACTGGCCACAGTATATCCGCAGGACGACAGGATCTTTTTCACTTCACACGTTTTTTGTATTTCCAATATTTATCAGTGAAACTTGCAACTTCCGTGATATTATCTGAGATAGCTGCATCAGCTTCCGTGTCATCGTTTAGTAAATAAAAAGAAAAAACGGGAATTTTTAGAAGATCATGAATTTTGCAGCAAAAGAGATATACGTGCGTTTTATTGTTGTATAAATCTTATAATACCGCTTCTAGGATCTGCGAGTGCTAGAAGTTCTGACAGTAAACATGATGTCAAGAACATAAACAGCGTAAGCAAGTGATGCATAGATTGAAAGACACACTCCCAGTGTGCCTCTTATCCTCTTATCAATTCGCCCTCTCACAAATGCACAGTAGGTACTGTATACCTGATCGCTGCATATCTACAACGGGCGCTCAACTACATTCACTTGTTTATTCATGTTCATCGGTTTTGCCTCTTCTAATACGCCTGCGGATGTTTCTTTTGCACATTACAATAACGAGGTGTATTACGATATCTTACCCGCAGATGTCCCCGTATTCCTTGCACCATTTATCCAGCGCTTTGTGCAGCCCCTGTTGAGAATGAAAAGACAGCATGCGTGCTGTAACTATTCCGTACTTACAACCATTTTGATCAGTAGAAACGGGACATAAGATATTCACTTCGCTATGTTCCGATGTCTCGTAATCGCAAACTTCTTGGGCATGTTAAGTTGAATCTCCAAAGTAGCCTTCTTTAAACACAGAACTGGTTAACCAGGTGAGAAAGTAAAAATAAACTAAAATTGCAAGTTTCTTTCGCCTATTTTATCCCTATATTGTTCTTACATAGATCATCATTCGAAAAAAGGCGGCAAACCTATTATGATTTTCCTTGTACACCCGACTCAGTTGGGTCTGATGCTACAACATGTGGGGTATATTGTTTTGAAATGCGTAAATACGCAAATAAAAGAGAAAACAAATAGAAAAAAACTATCAAGTTTGTACTTGCCAGTACTCTCACATAACAGAAATTAGTTTGACCGTAGCCTGAGAAGAATGTTCAGAAAAGGCAAATATCTTCCTCAAACACTTTATAGTCGACACGGCACTAGGTTAAGCACTTGCTATGAGTGGCATACGTGTTGCTACAAACGTAGTGATACATAAGTCCGTATACTGTGGGCAGAACTAGAAATGCGTGCTCACAGACGATTTGTTCCAATGTAAACTTCTGCGAGTGTCGCCGTCTTCTGTGTTGTTTCTGTTCGCTTTATGCTCTTTTCTTTAGATCCTTATTTTTTTTATTTTTGGTAACCACATTTCTTTCGCTTCTGTGTTTTTTTAACGCTGTAGCCGAAGTAATATAAACTTCAACATTTACACAGCAAACCATATTCAACAGATCCAAACAGAACATACGATAAATAGTCGGTGCCCGTTCAGAACGATGTCACGTGAGACTGGTGCATCATATTGAAGACGATAGCCTTTCTTGAGGTACTTCGATGCAAAATTTTTGGTCTGTAACCATTGTCTGTTTGCCCGACAAAACGATACTCCAAACGGCTACACAATACCTCAAGCGGCCAACCCTATTCGCAGCACCCACCAATATTTCTCAAGCTTAGCGTTTATACTTGTGTGATTTTCAAACAAAAAGCATTTATTGCGCATATATGAAGCATGTTAAAACACAAGTCAACATTTTTATATGTGTTTTATCCTGGGGAAGGCATATAAGTATTTATAGGCACCGTAGCGTTTATCAGGCTGTGCTGACAATAGAACCCGATGCTCATAAAGGCAAGTGTTTCCAGCGCTTTACTGAGATGACACGGTGGTGGCACCTGCCCGTCGCTTTGCGTTCTACACCTTATCGCCTCCGAGACAGGCGTGCACGCCTTCCTTCGTTTGCGAAGATAACCGCCAGATAGCGCTCGCGTCTTACGTGCTTCGATGCGCCCGTTCGGCTTCGCTGCACGGATCGAGGCACTCTAACTCAGCGCCTCCAGAATACAATTCACCAATTTTCTCGCGTAGAACATCGAATGAACGTTTTGTTCCCTCTCTCCAGACGCAAGACTATCGTCTTTCGACGAAAATAGCAGTGAAACATGCAGATACGGGGCCAATTTTTTTTAGCGGGTGCTCCTACTCTACGTGGTGCAAGTGGAATTCCCCGCCGAAAGGTGGCCTGTCTTAGTTGCGGGAATTAACAATTAAGAACAAAAACCAAAGCTGACAAGAGATATGCTGCAGTTGAGAACACTGGTATACCATACCGCATGTGGGCTGTGTAACTCATACCGAGTGCTTGGCACCAGCAGTACTTTGTTTCGCGCCTGCTATATGCGGCATCACCATCCTGACAATGAAACATATTTATAACGGCCAGCAACATAATTTCATATTTCTTGCGCTGCCGCTGCGATTACGTAGACACCATTCAGGCCAAATGTAAAGGAACAGTGTCGTTTCGCTTAACAAAAAACGTGATAGCGGATGACACTTCATTTGAAATAATGCCAACATAACTGGTGATTCAATGAGAGCCCATAGTTTTATGAATAATAATGTTTACTAGGGATAGCCAACTATATTGTAGCCTATATACACACGACAAACTATGCATATAGCCGATTACAACGAATCCTAAATGGCTTTTATTTCTCTAATAAAGACATCGTAAGTAAGACATGCGGGTAAGATGCTTACCAAGGAATGATACTCCCATAGATTACCCCAGATCAGATTGGGCTCTGGTCCAGGAATTCCAAGTTCCTTGAAATATGAGAACTTCTTCTTACGCCACCTGTTTAGACGACCAATATATAATGGAACACTCTATTACGAAAGTAATAAGACTGGCTTCAACCCATTCGCAGCACAAAACTAGGAAGAGGGTGACATGTATTACTCACAAAATAAACCTTCCTGCAATTGTTTCTATGTAGCCGAAAATATTGGTAGTCAATGGTCACAGTGCGTAAGATATTCGTTGCATGTTGGCCCATTGCGCCAGTATCAATTTGAAAGAGTGGAAAAATGGTGCGATTAGTTCGTAAATTTTTTAAGCATGACGAGTCATGGTTATATATGACTATTATTGCTTTGGAGCGCGCCTGCTCGTCTGACATAGTAATCTGTAGAAGTGCACAATTTTTACATCATAAACAGAAGTAGTATAGAAGCCGCCACTCGTAAGGCTGAAAAATTACCGTTCTAACTATTCGCTATGTGTTTAAAATAAGACAAAAGCAAGAATTCTGGAGCTCGCGCCCAAGAATAGTCAGATATGAACAACAATCGCTCAGCTAAGATACACATAGTAGCCCCCTTTCTCCTCCCGTTGATTTTATTTGGCCCCATGGCGTGCAGTGCAATACGTAGGCATGCCAGTTAGTTATTGTGCCGAGACATTGCTCTGAATATTCAGAGCTAATGTTTTCCCGAATCATCATGACATTCTTTAGCAATTGTTGAGTGCCGTTCCTCTCTGAATACTGTTCGTCCCATAAAGGCTGAAAAGAAACCGTATAGTTACCAGCCCTCAGCTTTTACGTGTAAAATTACACACGTATCGCATTTGAGCAACGTACAACGAAATCGCATCCAAAGATACACTCTCATAAAGAAGTAGCCATCGTAGCTGTGTAGCGAAAAAGCAAGTCAGGTCATCACTATCCGCCAAGTAGCGTGTTGGTGAGTGCTTCCGCTCGTTGGTCATCATCCTTAGAGAGTTTTAGTTTAGTCTACGCAAGGCTTTACGTGCGCAACGTGCTGCGTACACTATACGTTAAAGGCTGCGCCCTACGGCATTAGTTGACCATGCGCAAGTCTGAAACGTGTATTGAACCTGAGCGTCGACAAGCCTGCCTTTGAATGTTGCTTTACGCCATCTCATGGAGAGGCAAGAAGTTGTAATAACCGATATTCGTCAAAGCAACACACGAGTCGAGGCGTGAGACAAGGCATATTTTTCGAGGAGGAGTGCTGGTTTGGGGTGTTGAAGCAATAGGTCAACTAGCAACATGAAGGACAGGGATGGCGAAGGCGATCGCTTACTGCCAATTTAACATTTATTGTTTGCTACAGACGTTTTCTAAGATCATGTGACAAAAAAAAGGAACCAAACGAAGGTTGCTCAACTCTAAATGCGAACTACCCCCATTGGCGGCGGCGTCTTCACGTGTCATTCATCAGGTGCCTTCAAAGTTGATTTCACAATAATGAGGGCACCGTGTGCGAGAAAAATCCCTTGAGCTTCGTATAACACGTACCCCGACGCGGTGGTCTAGTGGCTAAGGTACTCGGCTGCTGACCCACAGGTCGCGGGATTGAATCCCGGCTTCGGCGGCTGCATTTCCGATAGAAGCGGAAACGCTGTAGGCCCGTGTGCTCAGATTTGGGTGCACGTTAAAGAATCTCAGGCGGTCGAAATTTCCGGAGCCCTCCACTACGCCGTATCTCATAATCATATGGTGCTTTGGGACGTTAAACCCTACATATCAAACAATCCTATAACACATTCGTGCCTTCACGTGCACGCTAAATGCGTGACCAGAACAAACCTTTACTTTCTAACAGTTGGACTGCTATTGCAGGCGGTCAGTCACACATTTTTTGGTTAGGCACATGCAAGCAACCACCACAGCTCAAAGGGATCACACACACGACGCCCCGTACACAACCGACAAATCCGTCGTGATGCTTCCCGTCACCATCGCGTTGCTGCTTCTGCGTAAATGGCATTGTCCAATCGTTCAATGTTGCGCTCCAGCTTAACAGTCGTAAAGCACAAATTTCAGTAAAACCTGCATATAATTCGTTCTCTTTCTACTTTTTCATCGCTGGTACAACGTATGCATACTGTTTAGATCAGGTGTCACAAACACAAGGCCCACCACCTTCTCGCTATGAGGGCGTGGCCCTCAGAAGAATGCCCCTTCAGCAGTGTTTTTTTATTATTTTCTCAATAATTATTTCATACACTACCCAGACGTTGGTCGTCGCTGCTCTCAGGTATATTTTCTCGGGAGGCACTCGCTTCGGTCTCCACATGCTGGAACATTACCGTCAGACTCTACATTTTGGAATAGTCATTCTCAATTGCTATTCTAGATATGTGCATCCGACATCACATTTCTTTCATAAATGACCAACATATGAGATATGCGAAAGGGTTTTTTTTTTTTTTCGGATGGCAACGTTTGCTTACACTTCGCTCAAACTGCACTACAAAGTTCGGTGCAGAAATGGAAATACGAATGAAATTCACGCATTACAGAAGAACCCGGGAAGTTTGTCAACGAAGGCGTAAATCAATTTTCGGCAAAAGAAAAGTATGCGTGCATGTTCCGGCCTGCTCCGCTTCATAGCGACAAACCACGAATGTGTAATTTTCAAGGTGTTTCTCTAGGGTGAAGTTCAATGTCACATACTGAATAAAATGACAGACAGACGCCTATAACAGGAACAAACTTTCCAAGATATGTAGCCGCAGAGTTATCGCATTCTTCCGGAACTGAGCCTATGCCATACGCGGGCATATACTCCGCATTAGTTGGTTGGTTATGTTTTCTCAACATCTTGGCTCTACCCACTCTTGAGGATGGCAATCGAGCGGACGATTGCTTGCTTAAGAAAACTGATTCACTTGCTGACGAAAAGGGTTGAATATGAATTGATTAGTTATTACCAGTAACAATTTGAACTCAAGACCTAAAGAAACTTCTTTACAGAAAACATTTACATGAAAACGTACACAAATTACGTCTGTGCCTAAAACAACTGAACGATGATTCGTTATGCAGCTCTAAATTAGGCAAAAACAATGAGTCAGTACTAAAATTAAGCTTTGTAGTACGCATTTTGTCGATATTACTGTCATCATAAAAATGAAGGCACAAAAATTTCTAGTATCACATGCTGCGTCTCAGGAATTGTAAGTGGGGCACTTGGCTCAGTTCAGTTCTTGTTGCCTAAATAGATGGTTCTAATCTCGGAGCCTTGAAAGGCTTAGAAAAAAACTGCAGGCGTTGGCTGTAGTTTTTGGTATGGCAATAGTTACGACTACAGTTTAAGTTTGCAGATACCGCGATGTTTCGACGTAGGATTTTTTTTAAGAGATAAATAGATAAAAAAAATTTGTGGAAGCGCTCACTTCGAACGTTATCATAATGTTGTTTCGCACGTTTCTTGCGTTTGCACCAAAAAGTTATACCTGCGGTATTTGAGGGTCGAGATTTTGCAGTTATTCGGGGTTCTATGCATTAGACTGTCAGGTAGACTACGCCATCCACATTGCATACTTGTTGTTTTGCCTTTGATATCGTACCATAGCAGTTTTTTTCGCGGTATGGAATTCGTGTGGGGCAGCCCTCTTATACTTTCTTTTTTAATTGAATCATTCGTGTTATGTATCAACACAACATTGTACTAAGCATGTATACACTGTGGCATGGGCCATTGTAGTTGACGGAAAGAATATTAAAAGAAAAACAGACACTCTTAGTTATCTCGAGCCCTTTTACTTAAGCAAGGCCGCTTACCGAATCAAAAGTGTCAAAGCAAACGCGATGAACACTATGGCGAACCACAGACCCATGGCTGCAGTCTTCAAGCTGGCTGGGACGCCGTCCTGTATTGCACTGACACACTGTCCTGAAGTAATGCAATTGCTGACTCTAAGCATCCGTGTTTTCATTATGCTCATCATTCGTTTTCTCTTCCGCGTGAGCTTTGACCCACATATCGGCCTCGATACCAATGTCGCAATGCTATCTGACGTTTCTTTCTACGCCGAGGATAATCTCGAGTGGCAACGCACAGGTCACGAACAAATGGGCCGCGCCAGTGGGCTCTGTATCGCATATGGGTGTTCCACCGTCGCGGTATACTTGTGGCCAGCTTTCATAACACACCGACCGCAGGAGTTTGAAAGCCGCACAAACACTACCTGCATGGATGCCTATCGAGAGAGCTCGCGTGACCGCACGCGCTATGTCATTGACAACCTTGGCGGCGAAAGAAACTGCATCTGTAATATTCTCCTAATTCATTCTCTTTGTATCAGCGGTGTGTTTCGCGCAAGGCTGTCGGGTTTCTTTCAAGTACCCGGCATGTTTATCTCTGACTTGTTACCATGTTTGCTGCGTGTCACAAAAGTACCCTCACAATAACGCTTCCAATTTCTATTCTTTACGTCTTGCAGGCCATTTTTTTCATGTGTGCCTTCAGAAACCGAGGTTTGTTTGTTATCGTTAATACTAATATAGTTTTTCTTTTGGGCTAACAGACACCATCATAACGGAAACGTGGAGGCCAGAAATCGAGATCACTGGTATTTACATTGTGATATTATTATTATTATTATTATTATTATTATTATTATTATTATTATTATCTCATACCTTTAGTCAGAAAACACGAAGAGAAAGAAAATAGACAGGTCTTACGTCCTGAGGAAATCGATGAAATGCGAAGCCCAAATGAGGAAAGCTGATATGTCACTTTAATATCAGCATAACGTTACGAAGCGGACTTAAATTAGGCCGTACATGACTTCCCATGCCATGATCATCAGTCATGCTTGTACGTGTCATTCACCTTCGTATTCTATTCATGTCACCTGATACCAAATTCGGTATAGGCAGAAACGGCTGCGAGCTTGCTATGAGCGTAGCATGTAGCCATGTTTTACGTGACATGCATATCATGAATATTATGTTTCGACGTGTCATTCATTTTTGTCGTTCGTTCACGTCCCGTACTACCGAATGTGGTGTACGTTAAGCTAGCGAAAGAGCCACGGGCGCATCATGAGCGTAGTACGTTGTGATGTTCTTACAAAACACTCCTGTCATGATTATGATGTTTTCGCCAGTGATGTACTTTCGGTATGCATTGACGTCATGTAAAACCAAATATGGTATATGTAAAGCTAGCTAAATGGCCGCGAGCAAATCATGACTGATGTTTGCATCAGTCATGTACAGCCTATTTCACATTTAGGGAAAATCTCGGATCGCGTAACACGAGGCACGGCCACCGCTGTATTCGGGAGCCGCTATAGCAGGTGACATGGTTCAATACAATCGCCTTTCAAGTGTCTACGCATGCACGAGCTGAAAACCGGCACTTGACTGCTGCGCTGGCCACACTGTGATTTATGCGTTCCGAGATTTCCCTCAAGTGCAATACAGACTGTACCTTCATCATTTATTAAAGTTCAGTAATACCAAATTGGACATATGTGAAGCTAGCTAAACAACCGCGAGCGTTCTGCTGATTTTAAAGTGACATATCAACCTTGCTTATTCGTGCTTAACATGACGATTACACTGTGCATGGGATCAGCCAGTCTTTTTCGTGAATTGCTTGTTGAGTGTTCTACAACCATCACTGGCTAATATTTGATAATTTCTCCTTCATGTATTTTTTTACATTTTCATCGTTCTTCAAAAGCTTCCAAAGGAGCACAGCAGATCAGAAAGCCACCAGAATAAGTTGATACCCTTGTTGAAGGTGAGAAAGAAAAGAAAATTTCTAAGCCACATAATCCGAAGTCTAGATAACGGATGGTCAGATACCGATAGAATTGGCTTTACGAGAGTGAAAACGTCGCCAAGGAATACGCAGGAATTCGGGAGGACGGATGAAATTTTAAAAACTTGCAGGCCTAAAAAGCGAAAAGTTTGCATACAGAAGACCTAATTGTAGCCCCGCCGTGGTGGTCTAGTGGCTAAGGTACTCGGCTGCTGACCCGGTTCGAATCCCGGCTGCGGCGGCTGCATTTCCGATGGAGGCGGAAATGTTGTAGGCCCGTGTGCTCAGATTTGGGTGCACGTGAAAGAACCCTAGGTGGTCAAAATTTCCGGAGTCCTCCACTACGGCGTCTCTCATAATCTTATGGTGGTTTTCGGACGTTAAACCCCACATATCTATCTAAGACCTAATTGTAGATCATTGTAAAATGTGTTCGCTCCACAGTTGAGAAATAATAGGATCACTATGATCTTCTTTTCCTGCAGTACTCCCTTGGTAGGCTTCATTTATTTGTAGGCAAACGTATAAACAAGCTCACAAACTGGGGACCCTTAAGCTTCGCCTTTAAGAGTTGAACGCGATAACGAAATCTGGCCCCTAGTGTACCCCTCAACCGCTAAGTGCATACATATGAATACTGTGAGCGCAGACACCGACTCTTCTTTATCTGTTGAACGTATCATGATCATTTTTATCGTTTTCTCATCTGTAGATATCATCATCAGTGTGTGCCAGCTCGAGCTCGTCTCGAATAAAGCTCTTCCTCATGAGTGGTGGACGGGTGCTTCCCGATCCCCAAGTCCTCTCGCACGTTTCCACTAGAGCTCCGCTCGGGTCGTCGTCTACTACGACCTGCCATGGCAGTTCAAGACAATCCTGGTTCATCCAACACCACCAGCCCAGTTCAGCATCCACCGTCGACCCTGCTCATCCACAGCCACCAGCATGATCCGCCAGTATTCTCGCGTCTCAAAGGGGATGACGTTGAAAAATGGCTACACACCTACGACCTTGTCAGCGAGTTTAACAGGTGGGATAGTCTACACTAATTACGTACAGTTCCTTTCTACCTTACTGATGTTGCGAAAACCTGGTTTTGGAACAATCTCAAGATCTTCCCGACTGGGACACGTTCGCACGGCAGCTTCGTCATACTTTTGGTTTTCCCAGTGTTCGCACTGAAGCAGCAACGAAGAAGCTTGCTGAACGCATTCAACTGGTGGGTGAATCATACACCTCGTACATTGAAGGTGTTCTTGCCTTGCGCAAGCGTGTAAACTCATCTATGCCTCAAAGTGACCAAATACGTCATAGTATCAAAAGCATAAATACCGTCGCATTCAACGCCCTCGCGTCGCAATATCCTACCACGACTCAAGATGTCATCACCATTTGCCAAAGACTAGAAGAGCTTCAGTCTCTTCGTCTTTGCCATGATGCCTCGGACATTCGTCTTCCTGCGGCCCTCGACATCCGTGCCCTGGTTCGCGACATCGTTCATGAGGAGCTTCATGGCGCTGCTCTTCCTGCGCTCCGTCATCTACTTTAGCCTCAGCTCCAACCAACTTGCGGGACATCATTAGACAAGAGATTGCATCTCCGTTGCATACACCTTGTTCTGCCGAATCCAGACCTCGTCAGGTACCAACGTACGCCGAAGTTGCAGTGCCCTCAGCACCCTCCCCCCCTATCCCAGCGGCTACGCCAGCTGGCCATGTACCTGTGATGTCCGTGTCACCACCAATGCGCTCACAGCCATATTACTCCATGCCGCTTCCTCCTCACCCAATCTATTATTATTGTGGCTGTAAGGTTCAGATATCTCACTTTGCGGAAGGCGCCAATAAAACGAGCAACGTGGCTACGCCTCAGAGAAACGCGGACACTTCAGTCCACTAATGAACTACCAGCGCACGTCTTACCGGTCTTCCTTTCAGTGTTCGCCCTCTCCGCTTTACAGTATGGGTCTGCCTGTGAGCTCCCGTGAGTCTCGCCGCCGCTCACCATCTCCCATTCGCCGTTCCGTGTCGCCTCTGCAACGCGCCTCCAATGTTCTTAATGCCCACTCGGAAAACTCCCCAATGCAGATTTATGAGGGGAAACTGCATCAAGCGGACAGCCAGCAATTTCTCCAGACAGACCATCAAACTTGTTAACAGTGTTAGTAGAAGGTATACGCGTCGAAGGTCTAGTGGATACTGGCGCTGCTATTTTGATTATTCGCTATGACCTTTCCTCCCGTCTCTGCAAAGTCACAACACCTTACTCGGGCCCGTCTCTCCATGCTGCGACTAACGCCATTACTCACCCACTCGCCCAGTGTACAGTTCGTGTTTTCATAAACAGTATTCGTCATCATATTGCCGTTGCAGTTCTCCATGAGTGCACCCACGAACTCATTTTGGGGTGGGATTTCCTGTCGTCTGCATGCACTTCTATATCTTGTCGTCAGCGCCTCATCCACCTTAATCCCCCAGACTCTTATGTATCGAAACACGAAGAGCGCATTCGCCTCGTCACCATTTCAGAATATGTTATTTGGCCATACCGAGAAGAAGTAATTAGCTTTAACTGCATCAACACTGTGGATGACGATGTGCTTCTACTACCTTATGGCCACATGGTACATCAAATTATTCTGATCATTCCAGGCATTGTTCCTTTTTCTGAAGCGTCTGCTTTTATTACTCCGTTATATGAGACCCCCGAACCCTTATTGTTGCCCTGTGGATCAACAGTCACATGCGCTATCGAACCGCATCCCGTTGCAATTGTTGCCCTTCTAAGTGAAGAAGACCTATTAAAGTCAAGCACGCCGTCACTTAACTCTTCCACTCCTATATCGGTGACGATTAGCCCTGATTTGACAGCAGCCCACAGTAAAGAATTGCTGAATTTATTCAAAAGACATATCTCTTTGTTTGACGTTAATTCTGCTGTCCTTGGTATGGCAACTTCCGCGACTCACCGATTTCAGACTGACGGCTCCCGAATTATTCACCGGCGCCCATACCATGTGTCTCTTGTAGAAAGGAAGATAATCGAGGAAAACGTCGCAGACATGCTTCGACGGAATATCATTCGTTCTTGCCCGAGTCCATGGTTTTCGCCAGTTGTTTTGGTGCAAAAGAAAGACGGAACGG